TGGTACGTATTCCCTCACTGTCGGAAGAAAAAGAGAATTGACGAACTCAAAGCCCAATCTGCAACCTCCGATCCGTAACACAGATGAAGCCCTGCTGTACAAAGCTCAATTGCAAGCCATTGACCCCAGCGTTGAATACTTGATGACGCTATATCTATCTCCAGACCTGACCCCTGATGAGATTCGCAAAGCTTCGCAGGCTGGAATCGTAGGTCGGCATCAGACTATCAGGATTCCTTGATTGCGACATAATCCAAATATTGGGATCTCTAGGCGTGAAGTCGTACCCTAGAGGAGTCACAACCAACTCTGATGGTGGCATAGAGTCTTATGAAGCATACTACCCTGTCTTCCAGGCCATGGAAGAAGAGGACATGGTTCTGAATCTTCACGGCGAGGTTCCTTCAGATCCCACCAACGATATATGTGTACTGAATGCCGAAGAAACATTCCTTCCACACTTGGTCAAGCTGCATGCGCGATTTCCTCGTCTTCGCATCGTACTAGAACACGCAACTACTCGCGCTGCCGTCGAATGCGTCAAAAGCTTGGGCCCAACAGTAGCATGTACTATCACTGCCCACCATCTGTCTCTGACTGTGGATGATTGGGCTGGTCAATCTTGGCACTTCTGCAAGCCTGTAGCCAAGTATCCTCATGACAGGCAGGCTTTAAGGGACGTTATTAAGGAAGGTAGGTATTGAGATGTGTTTAAGTGCGATCCTATTGATTGTACACAATTATCAGGGCACCCTCGCTTCTTCTTGGGCTCTGATTCAGCGCCCCATCCTCCAGAGAAGAAATCTATATCTGCGCCATCTCATGCATGTGCCGCCGGTGTATACACATCTCCGATCCTCCTTCCCCTCGTCGCCCATTTATTGGAATCGTTTGACGCACTAGATAAGTTGGAGAATTTCGCGAGTGGGTTTGGGAGAGCTTTCTATCGTAAGGAGGCATCCGGGAGAAAAGTCACGTTGCGCAAGACAACGGGGAAGGTGGTAGAAGAGGCTTGGGTCCTTGGCTCAGAAAAGGTTGTTCCATTCTGGGCAGGGAAAGAGTTGCAATGGGAGATTGTGGCCGAAGACAATATGAATTGATCAAGGAAGCAAATATGAGGCTGCAAAAGCCAGTGTAATTGTCCCAATCACAATGACTGAAGGAGTACGATCTTGACTTGTTCAGTGCAGCTCACAGAACTCCACTTTTTTTTCAACGAAAATCCAGTGATAGTGCTACATCGCATGAAATCGTTCTTAAAGTGATTCGCTGGGGGATGCAAGCGCTCTTGAGTCTTCGGCTTCAGTGTTCTATACCAGGCACTCTTGGTCCCTTCTGCCTGGCCACTAGCCGGTAGACGTTACCTACAGTGCGGGGCGCCAAGAGTAGGCGCCTCACTGGAGGCTTCATTTTTGCCCCTGGGGCCGGCAGATCAAAATTTAGGAAGGAAAGTGGGCAAACTGTGCAAAATCCTGCATTTTCGTATTCACGTGACCGTTCAGATTTCGGAATTCAAAAATCTTTTTCAAATAGACCTTTCCATGGCACCAATTTTGCTCCAAACAACATCTTAGTACTAATTTCTTTAATTAAGGCATACTATGCTCAAGTCTGATCACTGACTTTGCCACAGTTGTTGTCGGACACTGGCTTATGTACTGGCAGTTACTGCCGCTTGCAATGACGGTCGAGCGTCTACGCAGCATCCATTTATGGAGACAACATCACGTGTATTTTAATAAGCGCCTTATCTAATGTATTATGTAATCCCCATATATAGTAAAATTCAGATTTGGGATGACTCAAAATTTTATATCAAAGGATTTCGGGAAAGCAATGAGTTAGCCATAGTCTTTGATGCAAAAGGAGACGATTGGCGTAGTTTCCGTGACAATTGGAGGTGGTCAGAGGTCACTATAAATTGTTGCCATCAGAGGCCTCCGAGGCGTCGGTTTTGAGCGCCCCGCACTGTACTCGCCCTTACTCGCCCCGCTTAAGCTCCCTCGCAACCTGCAAGAGAAAACAACACTCAAGACGGCGTTCTCTGATCAATATCCCTGGACACAGAATGTGTTCCAGGTCTCTTTCCATTAATTCGAAGTGGGTATTGCCGAAGCATTGTGAACGACCTTCTTTATATGGGAACATGCATGTGATTGTGAGAGCTATGTGTTCGCTAAAGGTTCACAGCTATATTCAGCACATCACCATGATGGCATGACCGAGGCTGCTCAGACTCTCCAAGCCTCAGACTCAGAACTCTTTGAGTTCCATTGTGCAAGATACTGTCATGCTATTTCTCTTCTGCTGTCTGGTCCAATCGACTGCCAAAAATGTACTCAAAACTTAAATTCATTCATGAGGGTCATGTTGCATCCTGGTCGAGTGATCCTGAGGTCTGAAATGTGTGCGCTCCGACGTCTAATACTGTAGTTTTTCGACCAAATGTTCGTAATGATGGACGCCGTCTGACCAGGTCTGACTCGTAGTATGTGGAGCATGTCATCGGCGGCCGCTCCAGTTGCAAGTTGAGTGTCCAGGTCTGCCCGCCATGGGCAATGCTATTGTCTACAGCTGCAAGAATCGAGCAAGGCGAAGCTCGTTGTCCAAATGCCCGCTATCGACGTCATCTCTTACAGTAGTGGGTGCAAGCAGAACGCAACGGGACGGACTAGAAGATGGATATGGCCCATACTCGTTCGGGGCCTATAGGTAGGTGGTTACCGTGAATGGCCGGAGAGAGGAGAGCTTTAGTGGTTCTCACCGGTACCGGTATATATAACCAAGGCTTGACGTCGTCGGAGCTGCCTGTTGCACCTTGAACAGTTGCCTCAACGTACCTCCTGCAGTCCCTCGCGGAAAGCCTTCAGGCTACCTAGGTTCGTGCGTGATGTTATGGAATCCGAATTGAACCCTAACTCAATATTGCATTTCACCGCTAGTGCACACTGTCGCGGGATTGTTGACAACACTCATCCCATATTCGTTATGAGTGCGGACAGTGCACCGGCATGGCAGTCACACCACACCCTTGCCGCCACCACTGCCGCCAAACGCACCATATTGGACGCTCTCCCTCCCGAACTCATCGCAGAGATCCTCGATGTCTACGTGACATCTTGGTATGCACTCCTCGGTCCTAATTTGTACCAACCATGGCATCCCCCCGTCTATTCGTGGCTGAAAATGACACATATCTCCCAACTCTGGCGCAACATCGCATTGAACACGCCCCGGATATGGAGACACATCGCACTTACTTCGAATGTCGCATGTATAACAGAGATATTGAGGAGATCCAAACACACATCGCTCGAAATACTCGTAGACTCAAATAGGCTAGGTGAAAGGGTAGACATTCTCCACACAGTGTTCTCGCATATCACACGCATCGAGAGCATCAGTGGCATTTTCTCACATTCCATACATATTCGTGTGCTCAACGAACTCTGCAATGTGAGGGCACCGCGACTACGCTCGTTATTGCTCGAGGTCGACCCGAATGCTTCCATTAGCGAACAGCTATCCCTATCGTCCCTCAGCAAGCCAACCCTGACAGACTTGACTTTGGTCTGCTTTACTTTCCCAGCAATTACTCCCCTCCTTGTTCCAACCCTCCGCAAACTCGACCTTTCCTTTGCAGACCACTCGATCCCGATGTTGACTATGCTGGAGTTTCTGCAAATAATGCCCGCTTTGGATAACCTTCGTCTTCAGGATACCTTTAAGCATGCACGGTCCCTAAGCAGCTCGAAACCATGCACCAGCCCACCCGCACACTTCTGTAAACCAGTGACCCTGCCTCGTTTACGATCGTTGTGTCTCGAAGAAGAGGGTGATGGTTCGACCAGCACGTCGTTCTTACACCACCTCATCCTCCCAACCACTTGCGATATTCACTTGAGCTTCTTTAAATCAACAGATACTTCAACATTCCACCAAATGTTGGCCATTATCGCAGTGCATACCCGCACATTCGAAATCACATCGATGAACATCAGGTCATATAGAGGATGGAAATACGCCATTCACTGTAGTGCTAATTCGTCAAGACAGTTCTCCCTTCGTATACCTGCATTCCGCCACTCAGAAGCCGATCTCTCATTGGGTCCGGACCCGAACAATGATTGCCTCTCTCGCATATGCTCCATTCTTCCCCTCACCAAACTCCGAGCTCTGACAATCGGAGATATCTTCGTGTTATCGGTGCCTGTCTGGCTCGAAGCATTCGGACGACTCACCTACGTCGATACTCTCACAATCATCGAAGATACCAATTGGACCCTTCCGAATGTCCTCACTTCCTTGATTCCCTGCACTCCCGATACCAAACTTCCGGTCAACTGCTTGAAAAATGCAGACCATCCGTGTGACTATCTCATGTTTCCAAAGCTGCGGATTCTACGCATCGAGCGCATGCGGCCAAATATGACCAAGGGCCCATCGTACATATACCGAGGTCACGAGCAATACACGATTACTCTGCTTGAACGACTGTGCGATGCGCTCATTCGCCGCAAGATGGAAGGCTTGCCTTTGGGAGAGTTGATTCTTTATCGACTTCACGAACCACTGGATAGAGGACAATTGATGAAATTGGAGACGGCGATAGGTAACGAGGGTACAGTCAAGCTTTTGGGTCACTGAGTTGAACACACTTGACATGATGAGATAGCCATGATAGCGTACGGTTCGCACATTGTTTGCTGCTTCAATAACATTTTGCGCAATGTCAGCCAGATACCTTAGAATCTTCTTATCCGGTCCTCTTTTCGACACTATCCCTTCTGCTCGTACCCACTGGCAGAGTTCTGTATGTAGACCCCATCAAATACATCCTCCTCAGCTACGGCGACTACCAGGAAGTGCACATCTGTACTGGTGAACGTGGACTGGTCTTGGTGGGGTTCCTCCTAACCCCTACCCCCTACCTCCTGCAGCTCAGGCTCCCAGTACGACTCCGACGGCCAATCATAAGCAAAACAAATACCCAAAAATATTGATGAGAGTGGGATTCGAACCCACGCCCTTTCGGACCAGATAGACAAGCTAGAAAAGCCTTAGTCTGGCGCCTTAGACCACTCGGCCATCTCACCTACGAGAGTATGCTTGAATTGTCCCTCCTGAAAGGTGAGTTTGCGGAAGAAGCGTTGTGGAGGTTGAGCGTCTATCGTATGTTTTTCAAATACGTGCTAGATATGGTAAGGCGATAGAGGCCTTTGGTAAACAGCCGCAAACAATCACGGAACAGAAAAATGACATTGCGGAATGTCCGCGGTGGACGCGGACTCGAGCTCGGGAGTATTTCTGGTGGACACCTCTTAGGCCGGAATTGATTATGCGAAGCCGACATTACAGATCTTTCAGGTTATCCTGCACTTGCCGTCGTACTAGAAGAAGATAGCCGTTCTTTCATGCACGCGAGTAAGATCTTCCCAGCCAGAAAGCTCTACGTACAAGAAGTTGTCGCCGAGAAATTCGTTTCGGACGCGAGGTCGCTCTAATCGTGGCATGGATGAGGACGAAATTGCTCATTATTTTCCCGAGTAAGGTATAGGGATGTGTAGTGCGTAACTCAAACGACCAGTAATTGGATAAACCGAAAATGTGAGTGATGCTGGAAAACAGGAACATGACGAAAGCAGGTACTATTGTAACAACAACGATACATATGAATGAACTGAAAAGGGTAAAAAAAGATATGATCCATGGATAGATAGCAGATAGAGAGAATGAAAATAGCACATGACAGAGATGACTTTAGATGAAAACGATGCATAAACCAACTTACAAATATTTGTTATTCATTCTCTATAGGGGATTGACGAAGCGAGATCTGTGCTCTCACAATCGCGAGCAGAAGCACGAGATATGCTGCATAACGGAGAAGCCTGCGTCCCCTGAGCCCTACATCTTGCCCAGCGTCCGGACGCACCCATATATTGTCGGGTCCAAAGGGTATCGGCCCGCGACGACGGACGATTGCGGGCCAAATGAAGGGCAAAACGACACGGGTCATGAGATGATACAACCACCAGAGAACCACCTGAGAAGGAGATCCGAAAGCAGTGTAAGAACGAGGAAACCTTTAATGGAGAAGATGCAGGAGGTGGAGAGCACACAATAAGCCGGGTCGAATCTCTTTCTGGGTGGGGAGGGATGAAGGGAGACGGCTTACCACTGTCCGCGAAATTGGTTAATCCAGTGCACGATGAGCCGCAAGCGCAACCTAGGCGACTTTATTGGAAGCAATTTCGCTTTTTCATGTTCGTCGATGGGCAGCAGCTTGAGAAGGAGCAAAAGAATAATCAGTACGGACGTCCCGAGGAAGGTAGCGCATCGACTCACCAGAGCCATCCAGAAGCTGAAGTGAGCTGGGTCCTCGGGCATGGGCACAAATGAATTACTCAAGTGGTCAACGACCCATGGTGCGGCGCCCGCTCGCAGCTGACCCAAAAAGTCATGGCATATTGACATGAGCTCCTCGTTTGTATATGACCCGGTGTCGGCCGTGGGCGGAGGATCGCTGGAGTTCCTGTTGCCAGACCGTCCCCTAGAACTTGATGGGTTCGAAGAAGGTGCGGCGTTGGAAGGTCCCGTGCGGGAAACACCTAGCGCACGGCCGCTGCTCTCCAATACGGCATCGAGATCTTCGCTTCCTGCATCCTGTCGTTGAAGACTGGGACCCGGGAACTCCTCGTCATTGTCGACGTCCTCGACCCTCTCCACCCGTGCAACTGCGTAACCGTCCTTGACGCCGCGTTCGAGGATACGAAAACGGTGGGTGCCCCATGCTTCCACGCGGCACTGACCATCCGGTAGTACCTGGACATTGCGGATGGAGAGCATCGTTCCGTACTCGTAATTTTGCTGCGAGGAAGATGAAGCACCGGCGAACGGCTGTGATCTTGGAGGGGGGATCATGCCGAAGCGAGGGCGTGGCGTTGCGAGACACCTCCGTAGCATTAACCGATATCTGAAATGAAAAGTCGTCAATAAAGGGGCCCGCTGAATGAGATGCATTGCGGCTAACCTGGGCTCGTAGAAATTAAGGAACATCGGCATGCCGGGGAAACTGAGTTGGCACACGAAGATGGGTGTGTCAAGTCTCGAATCTCGCTCCTCCTCCTGGAGGGCTTCTCCTCTAGAGGCATAGTCTCCAGGAAAAGCATTTAATACTGAAAAGAAAGATCAACACACGTGAGCGCGAAGACGGCGAGCGAGGACTCACTGATAGCCAGAATGACCTTGTTGTATGGGTGTTCCTGGAAATAAGAGTACCCAGGGAGCGGTGAGCGACAGAGGGGACACGCGTTGCTATGATCCAGAGAGCGGTGAAGACACCTAGAACAAAAGGTCTAGCGGTATCGGGTCAGTTATATGGTGGCAAAGAACGTTGTCGATGGGCCCCGGGCTTAGTATACTGCACGCGCATCTCGGCTTGCGAAGTTGAAGGTTCCATACGAACCTCGTGAAAACAATAGGCCGCGCGCAAGATCGAGAGGGTGCAGCAACGCTGGTGCTCGTCGATCATGATCGGTTTCAGAGCCTCGGCCCCGGTCGCAGTGCGAGGCGGAAGACTGATCGAGCATAACATTGCGAAGAAAAGACAAGATGACTCACGTGTTGGCATGGAGTTGTGACTGGCTGGAAGAGAAGGCCGAAACAGATCTCGCAGCTGAGTTCTGTGAGCAGTTCCTTTTCGAATTTTGCGGCGGCGTCCTGGGGGGAGCTGGGGGCGCCGGGGCGGATGGGTGTCCGGATCCGCCGCGCCAATCTGGACCGTTTCTTCGGCCTCTCGGGGGAAGGAGAGCTGGAGGGCTGTCGGGGGCGCCGAGACCGGCCGGAGAGGGAGGAGGGGCCCGGGAAAGGGGAACCATCGAGGGCGAGCAGGGCATGACGTGCGGAAGAGGAAGACGGGCCAGGGCGAGTCCGATCGCCATCTGCGGCCATGCTGCGATCGACATCCCCATCTGAAGCATAATCCAGCGACGGCCGGTCGTCCTCCTCTGCGTCAGACCAGTCCGTCTCCTCCTCCGCGTCCTGCACAGGCGGCCGCGGGGGAGGGGCTGAGCCCGACGAGAACCAGTACCGAGCTTGCGACACGAGAGAGACCACTTTGCTCAGCGTGACATCCACCTGCGCAGGCCGCGAGTCGTCGTCGCGAGAGCCCGCGTGCGCATGATCGGCGACGGGGTTCGCGGGAGGTGATGGCGGGGGAATGAAATTGACCTGCGCATCAGGGTGCACAGCGAGAGTGGGCACGGCGTTCGCAGACGAGTAGGCGTGCGTGCAGGTGGGGATGGGGCAGGTCGGAAGCGGCGAGCTGTCCCTACCACGCGCAGGTATCCAGGAGGACAGAAAAGACGAGCCAGAGGGAGGCTCGGAGCTCATTAAGTGCTGGGCACAGACAGTGTGTCCGCAGCGCAAGGTCACGGGCGCGTCGAGGAGGCGTGGTGGGAGGCAGAGGGGGCAGTGGAGGAGAGGGAGGAGGGCGTCGGGGTGCATGGCGGGGACGGTGGAGGCGGAGGGGGCCTGGCTGGAGGAGTCGCATATAGGTGCGGGCGTCGAGGCGGACGATCTGGAGGGAGGGCTCGGGCGCAGATCAGTAGTAGTGCCAGTATGTGCATCGGCAGTCGCGTGGCCAGATGGACCCCTAGACGATCGATCCCCGCTTGCGCATCGGCCACCGTCCGCATTCGGCCTCGATTCGCCCATTTCAGCCGTGGTCACTGGCAAGCTGCGTGCGCCGGCCTCCTCTGCGCTCTCGACGCGTCCCTCCCCCCCTGCGTCCGAGGAGGATCCGACGGTGCCCTCCCCCTCGGAGGATGGTTGGCCCGGCTCAGGCGGCCTGTCATCCAAGCCGTCGCCATTTTCGTGCTTGTGGACGCTGCTCTCCTTTTGCTTCCCCTTGTCGGGCATGCAGACCAGTCTGTCGGTGATGGCGACGAACACAGCACAGAAGGGGAACGGGCGTTGCGAGTCCGCCCGCTCCGACAGAGCACTGACCAGCAGTAGCAACACAACCTCCTTCCATGGCGCAGGACGATCATTCCCCTCCACTCACGTGCCTGCATCATTCTCTCGATCGATCGCATTCTGAACTCTCTTTTCAACTCCCAACCCGTGCCTGGCGCGGTTCCGACTACACCCCTCCTGGTATTTTCCACCGACATGCGTTTTCCAGGTTTCTGCGACCACCGCATTCACTGGGCATTCAGCGTGATTCTTGGGCACCCTCACTGGCCGCATGTAGCGACCCCTATGTTACTCTTCGTCGGGTTTTAGTGGGCCTTTACCTGCCTTTCCAATCAGTCAGGGTATCTGCTGTTTCTAGCGAGTGTGATGACTATCTTCCCAGCGGACACGATCTTCCCAGCGTTCATCGCCGACTACCCGTCCCTATTCCGGTATTCATCTAGAGTACAATGGCTCCGTGCTCACAGGTACCGAGATGGACTGGGCCGACCGTTCATGGCCAATTGCCACAACTCTCGCAATGTAAATACCACCTGGATGGCGTTCACCCATGAACGTACCGTTCCAGCTCGCATCTAAGCTTCTCTTCATCGGAGCGCTGTTGCCTGCAGATGCGCCCACTTTCGAACCCAGATGTTTGGGTTTTTCAACTGGCATCCGGATAGAAAGTCATATCGGGTGGACAATCTCCGTGACCTGATAGATTGCTCCAGTGGACGAAGCAGCGAAGCCCACACGACAGTATCGGGCCCCGACCTTCAGTCTTGTACCGGCTCAGGACAACTACAAAGCGTCAGGTGCTACATAGTGAGCACCAGCTCGCAGCGGTGCGTAGTCTCCATGTAGAGCATAAATGACAATGTTATCCTTGTTCGGTCCCCACAAGCGAGGACACCTGGCGGGGAATTATCGCGCTCACTTTTTCACAGGCCGCCGCGCAACACAGACTCCCCCGCTACATACCCCCCTTCATAGAGTATGTGCCTCCTTGATCGGATATTTACTGTATCATCCGCGGAGCTCGTGTGCATGCATTGACAATGACAGCAAACATGCAGGCAGTAAAGTATAGCGTTCAGAGGCATCCCATCGGGCAACACCAAATCACAACGAAAAC